TAGCAAGTCAAGTTGTCGCACGGCCTCGCCTAGCCGGTTGGCATTTGCAACCATGACGTCATGCACCTGGTGACTTAAGAATGTTTTGGCCCGTTGCCTACAAAGTATTTTAATGTCCTTCGACAACTGTGCATTCGTTTTATTCTGCAAGCACCTCTTGCTAACAATTTAGTCGTATATTTTATTCGAACGTTTGTAACTTTGTGATTCCTGCAATACAACGAGAATTTTCTAATAGAATAACTTGTTTAACAATAGCAAATGTCTTTATAAACAGTGCGAGTCATCGATGTGTGGAATACTGCAGATATTTTTCCGATTGCTTGCGCATACGCATCATACCTGTACTTGATCAATCAGTAATACTAATGTTGAAAAAGTTGTACCGCATAATGCAGAGCAATTTATTAATCTATCATTGAAAATTAATGATATAAATACTCTCACTTATTTATAAATCTTATTAATACACTTTACATTAATAAAGATTTCGTGAATTTTAGCATTTTAATTCTGGCAGCGTTTTACACACTAGTAAATTTAAACGATTCAAGCGTTTACTTACGTTGATGATCGCGAAAGCTTTTAAGCGAGAAAATTGTGCTTTTAAGAACTTATTTTTGACGCGAACACTTTAATAGCCACTAGGCGGTAAATATAAACAATTACTAAGTCAATTTATAGGTATTACGAGCTCTTAACAGATGTGGAGCAATTAGTTGACTATAAATACTGGGGAACCAGTTTTCTGGACCATTGACTTAAGATTAAGGGGTTTGCCACACTAGATACGTTCTGCGGTCTGTGAACGCAGCCGGCATTATGTATGAACAACATTTTTTCGGTAAGGGTGGTTAGGGCAACGGTCAATGGCAAGACAATGTTAGCGGTACGGTTTGCGTTCTTTACTCGTCGCACGATCAAATCGCATCAATACAAAATGTACTTAAAGAGACTGAAAATGTTGTTCATGCATGATGCGGGCTGCGTTCACTTTGACCTGACCACAAACCGCATTCCGTATCCACAGTGTGGCAAATCCTTAAAGATTAAGATCACCGTACCAAGAACTCGGCGAGTTTGTCCTACATAACAAAAGAACGTCAACGTCAATGTTCGCCCTTCTATCTGAAATCAGTTTTTAATTACTGCCAGCATCTGATAATAGATTGTTCAATAGCGCGGATGACTGTGCGGTTACTGCTGTCTGATGTAGAGATAATATGTTTGGTAGCGCGAGCCTAGAATGCCAACGCAACGACAGCCGGTGGCTTGGCCTTGCTTGACTTGTTATATTTATTGTACCTACCTTACTAATTAAATGCTTAAACAGTAATAGAATGTTTGTTAAGATTTTCAAAGAATAAAGCTACAAATGGCAATGGAAATATGCTAATCGATCTGCTGCTTCGTTATAACAACACAGTTTTGTTATTTTAAAATTTAAGTTATATCTCTACTAGCTTTCCGCCCGCGGCTTCGCCCGCGTGGAATTTTGTCTGTCACAGAAAAACTTTATCGCGCGCGTCCCTGTTTCAAAAACCGGGATAAAAACTATCCTATGTTCTTTCCCGGGACTCAAACTATCTCTATGCCAAATTTCATCAAAATCGGTTGCGAGGTTTAAGCGGGAAAGCGTAACAGACAGACAGACAGACAGACAGACAGACAGAGTTACTTTCGCATTTATAATATTAGTTGGGATGGGATTCTAATTCTTAGACTTCTTGCATTGAGTGACGAAATTACAAAGACGAATTTGATTTTTATGGTTACGAACGAGATCTTGCATGTAGACTGTAGATCCTAGCTCTACAATTCCATGTTCAAGAACTTATTTTAAGTAATTACACTCAATTATATTTTTTACGTCCGCCTGATTCAAAACAAAACAGTAAACACCCGTTTCCACTTAATTTGATCTGGAATAACTTAAAGAAATAAATTCAACTCTTTCAAAGGTGCCGCTATGACTATCTCAAAGTTTTTTTTGCTTTTCAAGAGGCTGGAAGGTACGCAAAAAGTATTTTTTCTGCTCTCGCTGGCCCACTATTGTATTAATCCGATAAAGCATTGATAAAACAAAATAGTAAAAAAGATGCGTGTATCAGAACGTTCGTATTGGAGAGCATGCATTGCAGTCTGGAGATCTGCATAGTTCTTGGGCCTTGCAACTGACAATGTTACTTTTTGCAGGGTTCATTTTGAGGGTTCTTCTTTGAGAACTTGGAGTCCAATTATATTAATTTGTTATGGATACTGTACAAAGGCCTGGCATCTTAATGTAATTTCACATAGTTCATATAGTTAGGCCGACCTAATTAGCCTACCCATACAATTTTCAGGTGACGCATACGAAAATAGGATCCAATACGATCCTGCATTTCCTTTTTGCTTAGGATACCTACTTGGCCCCATTTTAGAGAAGACAGGACACAATAAACTTAAAATAATATTAGGTATATTAACATTTGTTTTTCTGCCATAATTAGTTTCACAGGCGGATTGAACCAATAGAGTTGTGTGGACTATGGAGAGTCACTAATTTACACATAGACGTTGCATTGTTTTGAAATCTTTGGAAACTGACGCAGCCTTCACGGATGATTTTAAGTTAGAGGAGTGAAACATTCTTTTTTGAATACATTTAAATACATCGATTACTTTGTATGTAATGTTGTTGGTATACCGTAATAAATAAATAAATAAATAAATAAATATCGATTCTTTTATTTGCTTACCCTCAAAAATAATTCCATTTTTACATTACACGGCCATAGCCATAGCTTCCTATAGGTATTAAATGGTTAAGCAAAACAAAAATACGTGGTGGTTTTGATATAGTAGGTATAAAGTGCGTACCTATTTGCGATTGCGATACCAAGATGTTGCAGAATTTAGGATTTATTAATAGGAAGCTGATTACTTCAATTTTTGTTTATAACAATCATAATTATTTATTATGGACATAAAGTAGGTAGGTACCAACCATAAAGTCATAAAAAAGATTCAAGTTATTGGTCGAACAATAAATTATGTTATTCAATTGTATTATTGCCAAAAATAAAACATCGTTATTTGGGTTTTATCGATAAAATAGACCTAACACAAACATAGCAAAGCACAGCTCTACTATGTCGACTTCCCCGGCTCCGCCATTGTGCGCGCGAGTTTATGCCTTCACAAATCCCATAGCAGTCAATACTAATTGCTTTTTCTTTTACTGCTGTCTTGACTTGCACCTTTAATTAAGATTACAAAATTAAAGCTCTGTTGTTGAGTGGAGCTAATTTATTTTTATTGGTTTGTTTATTACTGTTTTATCGGTTCACATTGATGTGTAAAGGGATAAAAAATCATGTGAGAAAACGTTTTTAGCAGAGCTACAGCGAGAGCAGTTTTTTTAATCATCATAAATAAGACCTGGAACATTTTAATAAACATATTAATTACCAAGATTGAAGCTGCCCCATCTAGGGGACATAGGACGTTAAGTCAAGTCAAGCTGCCCCATTCAACTCATGATACGTTAGGTCCTGCAGGTCTAGACAAAGTGCACATTTTAATCACAAACCACTCGAAAGAGATTTTCTATTTGATCAAAAAGTGCATTTTGTTTCGGGGGCCTGATACCTACAAAGATGGTCATACTCGTAGCTATCTGACATACACGGCACTTTGACAAAAGACAATCGCAAACAAACGCCGAACGTACTCGTACCGCGTAATTGCGCCGGCGCCGCTTGCATAATCGCTTCCTGCTTTCACCAACAAAGAGTATTCCAATGTTCTCAGGTGGGTATAGTCTTTGCTAGGGATGTGATTGAAGATGATTCTATCGATAAACGAAATGTGACATTCAGTAATCGAGGAACCTAATAGTTTGGTTGAGTTACCCATATTACTTAACTAAGTGTAGAGACACCTTGCAATACGGCCTTCTTTAATGACGTGGGCTGATGATATTAAATAAATAAATACTTAAAACATCCTTGGACACTGCGCCTCTAGTCCCAAACTAAGCAAAGCTTGTACAAATGTGTTCATCCATACAAATGTTTGTACTGTGCGAGAATCTAACCCGAGAGCTCTCGGCATAGAAGTGCGTTATACAAACCACTAGGTAAGTAGGTACGCGCCGTACACCAAACGGCCGAATTGGTGGTAATTATATTAATTTGATTTTGTACTTTTGTTTTCGGGACAATAAAGTTGTAGGTACTTGTTGTTGTAGGTTCTCGAAAGGCTACCATTACCATTTATTACGTAATTATAGGCTAAAATAATTGACCATTTTATTTATTAAAAAAATAGAGCATCATAGGTAACTCTTGCATTTACATTTACAAAAGATAAGAAACACCTTTATCAATAAATTACTCCTAGTTTCACTCTGTTCAGAATATTTTAGATTACTTACTTATCTACTAAAGACATAAAGGAATTTTATAACATGCGCCAAGAAAGCTCCTCGCCCAGATAACAATTTAAACTTGAATCTGACTTGCAGTAAGTTTGATGTATCAAAAATGAAGCTTTGTTTCAAATTTGCCATGGCAAGTATATAAACTTGAGGCAAGTTTAAATCAAACTTTCTAGTTTCCGAGCGACAAACTTGCATTAATGTGTTTCTATAAAGTATATGCAAGTTTGCCTTAACAAACTTGCATTATGTCTGCTTCTATAAATTATATGTAAGTTTGCCTTAACAAACTTGCATTATGTCTGCTTCTATAAATAATATGTAAGTTTGCCTTAACAAACTTGCAATGAATATGCATGTTTGACATTAAATAAAACAACAAACATAACATATATTTTTTTATTATTTATACTTTTNGTACTTTATCTCCATACCTTAACTTCGAAAATTGTGTGTGCCACAGTTACAGTGACGTACCTGTGACATTATTGCTTACCTGCTCGGACCGATAACTCTGTCTCACTCTTACGTCGCTTCGGTGACTCGTTCGGCTGATTTCGTCGCGAAACTTATCACGATGCAGCGATCACCGCCAGCAAAAATACAAAAATACTCATCAAATCCTGACCTACCCGAATCAGGTGAAGGAGACGACGACTTTGTTAGCTTCCGTAGGCGCAGGCTGCCCGAGGATGATAACACCAAACGAATGATGGATTATGTTGAGAAAAAACTGAGTGCTGAGCTTGATTCATGGAAGTCGCAGTTAGACGTCGTCATCGCCGACAGTATCAAAAATTCTATTGATTCTATTTTAGACAAAGAGATCAAAAACATTACCTCGACCATAAACAATTCCCTCAAGACATTTGGAGACAAATTAGATAACATCGAAAAATCATTATCATACGCGATGGAGAGGCAGGACAGCATTGATTCGCGTTTAAAGCAGGTAGAAAGCAGATTGAGCTCGAGTGATGATATTAGCAGTCAAGTAACTCAATTACAAGACAAAATCGATTCAATGGAGCAGCAGGCGCGACTGTACAACATTGAAATAGCTAACTTGCCTGAGCGACGTGACGAAAATTTATTAGCTATCGTTGAGAAGATAGGTGCTGTCATTAAACACCCCATCAACAAAAGTGACATTGTTTCCGCTCATAGAGTGCCCCACTTTGATAAGAAGTGCACCCGACCAAAAAATATAATAGTTAAGTTTTCTACAAAAATACTACGTGATAACTTCATGGCAGCATCGCGAGCGAACAGAGGGCTGAAATCGGACCAACTATGTATGCCTGGCACTGTATGTTCAGTGTATGTTAACGAACACCTTACAGCCAAAAACAAGCAGTTGTTTCGTTTATGCCGAGAAGAAGCCAAAAAGTGTAGCTTTAAGTTTGTTTGGGTTAGTCGAGGAACTGTATTGGTACGTCAATCTGAGTCATCTCCTATATTTGCTATACGATGCGAACAAGATCTTAAAAAAATCAAAGCTTAACTGTTTTCTTATACAAGTATTATTATGTTACTTCAGTTTTTTATACTTTAAAAATAATATTACATGTCTAAAACTAAACCTCTCAAATGAATGCATTATCTGTGTGTGTCAAATGAAATGTATCTCCTTTTTATTCTGGAATGTGTGTCAAATTATACAACTAAAAAACATACTCCTATATTGTAATTATGTCTGGTCACACTCAATAAATATTTTATCCACTGATAAGCGGTTCTGGTACTCATTAACCTATAAAATATCACTACTCGTAACACTACATATAATACCCACTATTTATTTAAACCAATTAACTACAACACATTTTTGTAGCATCACTAAAAATGGCTAACAATATAACTATTTATTACCAGAACTGCCGAGGCCTTAGAACCAAACTCGACACACTTTTTACAAATATACTTACACAATCATACGATATCATAATACTAACGGAGACTTGGCTGCATGCTGATATAAATGATACTGAATTTATAGATAACAGGTATTGGGTATTCCGCGCGGATCGTGATCGGGTGGGCAGCGGCCGCAGTGACGGCGGGGGCGCTCTGATCGCGGTCTCGCGCGCACTGTGCCCGGCCGGCTGCGCGCCCGCCGCCGCTGCGTACTCCCCACTCCCGCCAGTGATTGATCATGTTTTTATAGAATTCAAACTGGCTAAGCGATACATATGTATAGGTGCAGTTTACATTCCGCCAAGGCAAAATCATGAGGTATATATTAGTTACTTAGACATGTTAGAAAATCGGTTGCTTGGCAGTAATAGTGGTATTACAGACTTTTTCATAGCCGGAGACTTCAATTTGCCCGAGCTTGTTTGGATAAACAATGAATCCTATAAACAATACCCTAGTATTGAAGATCTCAACCAAACCCATATAAATATAAATAACTTTATGGCGGAACTAAACTGTTTTCAATTGAATACATTAAGAAATAATAATAACCGTATTCTGGACTTGTTTTTTACCAACAAAACTGATTGTACGTTATCATCTGCGGAAAGCACATTGCTTCCTATCGATTGCCATCATCCACCATTCTGCGTTTCAGTTATATGTGAGGTGAAGCAGGATTACATGCGGCCTAAACCATACTTGAGGTACTGCTTTAGAAATGCAGACTATGATAAAATTAAACAGGAAATTGCAGATACTAACTGGGATGAAATCTTTTTTAATAAAAATGCTATTGCTGCAGTATCAGTATTTTATGAAATAATTTATAATATTATTGAGCGTTATGTACCTAAAACTAAATACCATAATAAGACGTCCGTATACCCTGCCTGGTTTACTCCTACATTAATTAATCTTTTTAATAAAAAAAACCGTGCCTGGATTAATATGAAAAAATATAATAATCCATCTAATTATAACATATTCTCTATATTAAGGAAACAATTCAAAACCTTGTCAGAAAAATGTTACAAAACATACATGGCAAAAGTAGAAAGCAGCATAAAAATTAATATTAAATACTTCTGGAAGTACATGTCGCAACGCCGTAATTTGTCTGAAATACCGTGTAGTGTACAATACCAAGGTTCTATCTCACGTAGTCCTGAAGAATGCTGTGAATTATTTAGTAGGTTTTTTCAGTCGGTATTTCAGCCATCTTCTGTACCTGATGATCTTTGTATTGACGATTATAATTTAGCATATGAAAATACTCCTGATCTTATGATTCACGACATTAAAGTATCTAGGTTGCAAGTGGAAAAAGTCCTACAAATGCTTGATACTTCTAAGGGCGCCGGCACTGATAACTTGCCAGGAATTTTCTTTAAGGTAACAGCGTCTGTGATTGATCTTCCTCTTTCTTATATCTATAATAAATGCTTATCTGAGGGGGTTTTTCCTGACATCTGGAAGAGTGCAAGAATAGTCCCAGTTCACAAAGATAGTTCCAAGTCTGATGTTACAAATTATCGGCCAATATCCATCCTGCCCATTCTTTCCAAGGTATTTGAACGCCTGGTTCACGACGCCATTTATCCACACTTGCACAATATCATCTTAGAAGAACAACATGGTTTCGTAAAGCAGCGTTCTACAATCACTAACCTACTAATTTACACATCGGACCTATTTCAAGCACTTGACGCTAATACTCAAACTGACAGTATTTATACTGATTTCAGGAAAGCATTCGATTCAGTTGACCATAAAATACTACTCCAAAAAATTGCATTTAATGGTATACACGGTAACCTATGGCGGTGGTTTAAGTCATATGTGTCTCACAGAACACAAAGAGTCGTGATCAAAGGTTCGGAATCCGAGGTTGCCTACGTTACCTCTGGTGTCCCACAAGGATCCATCCTAGGCCCTCTTCTGTTCGTGATCTTCATAAATGACGTTAAACATTGCTTTAAACACAGCCGAATTCTATTATATGCCGATGACCTCAAAATTTATAGAAGTATCAATAGTCCAGAGGATCACCTATTGCTTCAAGATGACCTGACTAGATTTAACCACTACTGCTCCCTAAATCACCTACAGCTAAGCCTTAACAAATGTAAAATAATTACTTTTACTAAAAAAAAGAAAATTAGTAAGTTTAACTATTCTCTAGGCGGCAAGGATCTTGCAAGGGTTAGTTTTATTAGAGATCTGGGAATTACTCTTGATAGTAAATTACACCTTGACATTCATATACAAAACATAATCAGTAAAGCATTTAAAATGTATGGTCTTGTCATGCGTTCTAGTCGTGAATTTAAAAACTCTAATACACTTATTTATCTCTTCAAATCCCTTGTCAGGCCTCAATTAGAGTACGGAGTATCTATCTGGAACCCGCTTTATGAAAAATATAATCACAGCATTGAAATGGAAGTACCCTTTAGGTTTTGATTCCCTTGCGAGTACTTGCGAGTTTCAAAATATGCAGCTTAAATTGCTGTTTCTTTTGATTGCGTTGACATATAAGTTTGATTTTGTTACAACTTAAAGGTATTATAGACCTGAGTATTTGGTATGAATTTCAATTGAATACCTCTACGCGTTTATGAGGAAATGGGTGGTAAGTTTAAAATTATTTAAAAAAACTCCCTTTTTTTTTACTCCCTTGCAAGTGTCGAAAATTTGCGGCATAAACGGCTGTATCTTTTGATTGCGTTGGCTTAGAAGTTTGATTTTTTCACAGCTTCAAGAGACAGTAGACCTGAGTAATTGATATAAATTTCAGCTTCATACCTCCACGCGTTCCTGAGAAAAAGGGTCTTGACAGACGGACGGACGGACAACAAAGTGATCCTATAAGGGTTCCGTTTTTTCCTTTTGAGGTACGGAACCCTAAAAAACCACTATAATCAGAAAACTCACCCATAACTTCCTCAAAATATCTTTATTTTCGGACAACAATTAGCAAACACAAACAAATATAGATTTTCTTTTCGATTTTTTTTTAGATGCGACTCTTAAGCCTAATTTTTTTTTATTTCTGTAAGCATAGGTATACAAATAAACTAACGCCCGTATTCACAAACATTACTATGAGGTCTCACAGTGCGGGTGGACGCACAGGGTCACATACGAACTAATCACAGAGCTCTATTCAACTCTGTGCGTTCGATTTGCTGCTTCAATTAAGCAAGCATCGTTTGAAAATACGGGCGTTAGTTTTTAAACTTTTCCTTGCTCGGTATTTCCAAAAATGTGTTGAATCTTTGTTTCTATTTATAAGTCGAAATGCCAAAGTGCCTCAACTTTAGAACAACGAGTTTTCACAGGTTTTCATACAAACTTTGACCTTTCCTGCAAAGAGTTTCACAAAATACTTTTAATGGACGTTTGTGTTAGAAAATAAACTTTTATACAGACGACAGCTTATCAATGTAAACCCAAATCTTATTTAGTAATTTATGTGCTATTTTGTTACAAAACAAACCCTAAAAAGAACTTTAAATTGCATGTTATTACATCTGTCATATCAGGGAAAGAATAATTATAAGGTTTACATTTTGAGACCGCAATTGCTCCACTTGCAACAAAACATAGTTTTACTCTCATCACATCAATGCTACAAGTTCATAGTTCGTATTTAAATTAAATACATACGAGTGAACCTTTACTGGATGCGGAGAGCACAGAACCGGTCGCTGTGGAAGTCCTTGGGGGAAGCCTTTGTGCAACAGTAGACGTCATTTGGCTGAAATGAACGAACATACGGTTGAGAATTTTTGCCTAAATAATTTATCCCAACTAATATTATAAATGCGAAAGTAAGTCTGTCTGTCTGTCTGTCTGTCTGTCTGTCTGTCTGTCTGTCTGTCTGTCTGTCTGTCTGTTACGCTTTCCCGCTTAAACCTCGCAACCGATTTTGATGAAATTTGGCATAGAGATAGTTTGAGTCCCGGGAAAGAACATAGGATAGTTTTTATCCCGGTTTTTGAAACAGGGACGCGCGCGATAAAGTTTTTCTGTGACAGACAAAATTCTACGCGGGCGAAGCCGCGGGCGGAAAGCTAGTTTGTGAATAAATGCCTTAAACACTCTTAGAATGCTGAATTTCCTTTCATAATTTGACCTGGCTGGAGTGAGACCCTCAGAAAATATTTTCTCATTGAAAACGTATTAAAGCCTAATAAATAACATAATAAACCACAGTCACGCGATTATACCGTGCATACCCCTACACCGTACAATTTTGGAGGCTTTCATAACTGTGCAAAACTGAACCTTAACGCAAAAAGGTAAGGTTGCATATCGTTTGAAGAGAGCTGTGGTAAATTTCGGTAGGGTTTAAGACTCGGGTTCAAGCCAGTAATTACCTGTCAAAAGTTTAAGGGCAAAAGAAAATATAGGGCGGTTTCACACTGTCACGTGTCAAAACGCATGCCGACAACTATAATGGTTGTGTTTTAATGACTAGCCATGCTGTCATTAGTGTTTTGTTGGTTTTACATAAATGTGATAATATTGCAAGACTATTTTGGTCTAACAGGGTAAAAAACTAAAAAAGTGAATTTAGGTATGTATCCGATTAAACTAAAAGGGTTTTGATTTGAATAGCTTCAGGATAGATTCATCATCATAATCAACATCATTTCAGCCATAGAACGTCCACTGCTAAACATAGGCCTCCCCAAATGACTTCCACAATGGGCGGTAGGTGGCGGCCTGCATCAAGCGCCTTCCTGCTACCACTATCAGGACAGATTAAAAGATTTATAAATGATTGAGGAATAGAGAGAGAGAGAGAGTAAAAGAGATAGTGTATTTTATCGCCACGTGTAGTAGAAACAAACTTAGTAGTGACAGTTTTAAAGTAGGTAGTAGATTTAATTTAACCGCCTCTGTGGTCTAGTGGTAAGACCACCTGCTTCAGACGCAGAGGTCCCGGGTTCGATTCCCAGTGGGGGCAGATTTTTCTGTTCGGTTTGGTTGGTGGTAGGTTCTAAGTCCGCCTGGCTAGCTACCACCATCTTACTTAAGTCTGTCGCCATAACAACAATGTTAACAGCATTATTATGTTCCGACAGTTAGAGGTAAGATAGACAGTTCCTCCGTGGTTAAGGATTCCGGGTGAAGCTCGCTTCCACCTTCGACCTGATCTTCACTTACCATCAGGTGAGATACAGGCCAAGAGCTTCCTCGTTGTGGATAAAAAAAAGACAGTTTATTAAGCCCGCCGACAGCCCAGTGGCTTAGTGTCGGCAGCTT